CAGTTGTTGTATTTTTGTTGGGTTAAGTATTGTATGCCATTTGTTGTATTTTTGTTGGGTTAAGTATTGTATACCATTTGTTGTATTTTTGTTGGGTTAAGTATTGTATACCATTTGTTGTATTTTTGTTGGGTTAAGTATTGTATACCATTTGTTGTATTTTTGTTGGGTTAAGTATTGTATACCATTTGTTGTATTTTTGTTGGGTTAAGTATTGTATACCATTTGTTGCACCATCCAATAATTGTCTTTAAGAATCTTTATAATTTCTTAGCTGCAAATGTCAGGGCTGTAGAAGTGCTCCAGATCGCGATATCATCAGCATATTATGATGCAAGTATGAGAGGCATTTCTGGTTTAGGAAGGTCGTAAACAAATAAGGTGTATAAGAGAGGGCTAAGGACTGAACCTTGTAGTACTTCGGCATTAAAGGTGAATGGTTGAGATCTAGTGTTATTAATTCTTACTTTGGCTGTACAATTTTTGAGGAAACTGGTTATTCATTTAATATAGGTTATGGGTATTTTGTACTTAATTGGTTTATTTTTAATGCAGTTGTGCCATACGGTATCAAATGGTTTTTGAACATCTAGAAAAGCTACTATTGTTGCCTGTTAAATCAAAGATAGATTCAGTTAACCTGACTAGATGATCTGCTGTTTGTCTGTTCTTTCTTTCAGAATATAGAATTTCTGATTGTAAATTGTTGCTCTCTAATAACCATAATAACCTAGTGGTAATTATTTTTTCCTTAAGTTAGGGTTTTTGGAGTTCTGTCATTTTTAAGGATAAGAGTAACTATTGCTTCTTTGAATGTATTGGGGAGGTATCCCAAGAAGAGAGATAAGATAAATAGGTTTATGAAATGCTCTAGTAAGCTAGAAGAGGCATGTTTGAGGACCATGTTGGGTATTTTTTCATCACTGGGGGCACTGTTTTTTAGCATTCATAAATGCGTTTTAATTTCTGGTATGGTAATTGGCGTTGAAATGTTGTGTGCCGATATGTTTGTAGTGCTAACATGAAAGTGGGTGAAAATAAGTTTTGGCTGTCGTTTATAAAATCGTTAATTGTTAAATAGTGGTTATGATCGAGTTTGGTGTTGTTAAGTGTGATGAACGTGTCAAAAAAATAATTAGCAAATAGGTTGGCTTTTTAACTATCTGTGCAAGCTGTTTTGTTTTTGTACTTGATGTTCCTGGAGTCTTTAGATTCTTGGCTTATTTTTTTAATGTTTTCCAGAATAATGCAGGTTTGGGTTTTAAGTCATCAAGTCTATTACATTACTTACTGCAGGTTCAGGTTTTAAGTCATCAAGTCTATTACATAAATTACTGCAGGTTTAGGTTTTAAGTCATCAAGTCTATTACATAAATTACTGCAGGTTTGGGTTTTAAGTCATCAAGTCTATTACATAAATTACTGCAGGTTTGGGTTTTAAGTCATCAAGTCTATTACAGAAATTACTGCAG